TCTTCTGTACCTTTTCCATTCTCTAGTACACCTAGTTTTTGCCTCCCTACACCTTTGGGTGAACCAAGACTCGTTCTGTTCTTCCATTATTTCTGTTTCCCTTGGGAACAAACCTCTCCTCTGCCTCCTTGCATTTTGTTGCTACATAGTCCATCATTTCTTGTACTGGTTTTCCTGTCAGTTCCCTCTCCCACTGAATGTCTTGAAGGAAGTTCCTCATGCCTGAGTAGTTCCCCCTTTTGTAGTTTGGTTTTTCCCAGCCTATTCCTGCTACTCTCTCCACTTGGAGCTCAACTATGTAGTCGAAGCACAGAACCACATGATCACTAGCTCCCAGGGGCCTTTCATACATGATACCCTCGATGTCCGAACTACTCATGGTGAATACAAGGTCCAACCTTGCTGGTTCATCCTCTCCTCTCTCTCTGGTAGTGTCTCTAACATGTTGATGCATGAGGTTCTCCAGTACCACATCCATCATCTTGGCTCTCCATGTTTCGGGACCCCCATGGGGCTCCAGGTTTTCCCAGTCAATCTCCTTGTGATTGAAATCACCCATAACTAGTAACTTTGCTCCCCCCATGTGTGCTCTCCTGGCCACCTCGGCTAGTGTGTTGATCATTGCTCTGTTGCTCTCATCGTATTCTTCTCTTGGCCTCCTGCAGTTCTGTGGTGGGTTGTACATTACTGCAATTATCACCTTATGTCCCTCAGACTGGATTGTTCCTACTAAGTAGTCCCTTTCGCCCATGCCATCCATTCCTTCCATTTTCTCAAAACCCCACTGGTTTTTAATGAGCAGTGCAACTCCTCCTCCCCCTCTCCTCCCTCTGTCTTTCCTGAAGATTTGATATCCGGATGGAAAGATTGAATCTGTTATTATTCTGGTGAGTTTTGTTTCTGTGAGTGCTATTATGTCTGGGATGTCTCTTTGATTCTTTCGTGCAACTCCTCATACTTGTTTGTTATTCCATCTGCATTTGTATACCACACCTTCAACTTCTTTTCTAAGACTGTGGTCTGGAAGTATATTGGGGTTGGGGAAGTGGGAGACCTGGTAAGGAACTATGGTTGTTGCTGTGGGGGTGAAGTTTGTAATGTAGTGGGTGGGGGCATTGGGATGTGGCATGGGTGTTTTGATTTAGAGTGTTTGGTTGCACTGGGGTTGACCTGGTTGGGAGGCTTCTATAGAAAGTTGTGAGGGGGCTGTGTTAGATCTTCTTCCTGGGTCTGGGATCTCCTGTCTGTCTTCTCCATCCCTCTCTTTCCTCCTTTCTCCTTTGTACCATCTCTCTCAGTTTCTTCCTTTCTTCTTGTGTTCTGTCGCGGTCGAGATACACCCTCCTGTATGCCGTCATGTCCCTTAATCGTGCTTTCTCCTGCAGTATCCTGGTCCGAGTCGCTTCTGCCTTGAAGGTCACTCTCACTGGCCGGGTTCTTTTTTTTACAAACCCCCCTATTTCTCCGAAAATTTTCCAGCTGGGTCATATCGTCTTCTCCTATTGCTTTCATGATGCTTTCAATTGCTTTTTTTTTCCCCTTGTTTTCTTGCTTCATATGTTTCCCCTTCGACTTCCTGGAGCCCATACACAAAGACTGACCTCACCCTTTCATTCTCCCACTGCATATCCCTGTGTATCCCCCTCATTTAATTTGGTTTCCTCCACTGCAGCTTTCCTTTCATCAGTTTCACTGGCTAATGTACTTGGGCTCAGTGGCCTGTCATTTTCCCTTCTCGGCTTTCCTTGGGCTCTGTTGTTGTCTGTTAGGGCCTCCACAATAAAGCTTAGCTCTTTCATTTGCTACAGTCTCCTCTGATAGAGCATCTCCATGCAGTTGTGCCCCTTCTTTCCCTACAGTCCCCTTATTTGTGGCTGAGGTAGCAGTCTCTGTTGTCAATCCCAAAATGTTCTTTAGTTCTTTAGGCTGTTTCAGATTTTTCAGTTCCTCTTCTAAACTCTGTATCCTAGCTTCTGCTGCTTTGACATGCACCTCCCACTTCCTGCTTTCCATATCTATCCTCTCTTCCATTCTCATGCTAAGTTCTTCTAGTTTCTTTTCCCATTCATGATCCCTTTTTATGAGCTCTGCTGCCCAATCTTCCTGTGCATTTTCCTCCTCCTGTCCCTTGGTTTTTCTTGTTACTCTCTGGCAACCCATTTTTGTTTTATCCTGATTGCCTCAGAGTGGAAACCTATGTAGTTCTGTATGTTAGGTTAGTAGTGTGTGTGTCAGAGTGTGGGGGGGGAAGTAGTGGAGGAACTGTGGCTATTTGGGAGCTGAGTGGGGAGGGGTGGGGAGGGTTTGGGGTGAACGGGGGAGGGGAGGGTGATCGAGGGAGGGGATGGATCAGGGGAAGTAGTGAGATGTCGGTGGTGAGGGGGGAGTGTGTGTGTGTCTGGATATGTGTGTGTGTGTGTGGTGTTGTGTGTGTGTGTGTGTGTGTGTGTGTGTGTGTGTGTGTGTGTGTGGTGTGTGTGTGTGTGTGTGTGTGTGTGTGTGTGTAATTTTTGTGTGTAATTGTGTGTGGAATTATGTGTGGGTTTATTATGTACTGAAAGGTAGGTGGCTTGTGCTTGGAGTGTAATGTAGATTCTCAGTTGTCGCTTGTGTCCACAACCTATGTGACCTGACTCCCTTGCAGTGTTGCCTATATCACCTGCTTATAGTGAGTTAATCGCCTTGTTCAATGGATTACCATTTGCTAAACCTTATTGAATACTTGAGTGCCTATTCTTTATCGTGCTATGAGAGTTAGACCATTCACATTCAGCTTGGCGGTTAAATTGGAACCTGGACCCCACACCCAAACAACCACTCATAGGTGATACAGTACTTGTAGTGCAGTTGTAGCAGTGTAGGTTGTCCAGGTCGATGTGACGTCCTGGAGTAGATCCAGCTCGATGTACGTCCTGGCGTAGATCCACCTCAATTTCTTCTCGTTAATAATGTACCCTATTCACTGTATTTCTTTCACTGGTCACACTATTGTTTCACTTTATTAAAATCTTGGTGACACTGGCACGCCGCCTTCACACTAGCCTGCGCCACAACGCTTTTATTTTCCAGATCACTTTCAAATTGTGGCTCTCCCCACCACTTGTGTGGCTCAGGCAATTAAAAAAAAACACTTCTAGGATTGCTGACTACCCTGACACACTTAGCAACCCTTGCAGAACACTTGTAGCCCTCCAAAAACACTTAAATCCCCGAGCACCGACGGCGTGACTAGCACCGACGGCGTGTGTGTGTGTGTGTGTGTGTGTGTGTGTGTGTGTGTATGTGTGTGTGTGTGTGTGTGTGTGTGTGTGTGTGTGTGTGTGTGTGTGTGTGTGTGTGTGTGTTGTGTGTTGTGTATGTGTTGTGTGTGTGGGTGTGTGTTGTGTATGTGTGTGTGTGTGTGTGTGTGTGTGTATGTGTTGTGTGTGTGTGTGTGTGTGTGTGTGTGTGTATGTGTTTGTGTGTGTGTATGTGTGTGTGTGTGTGTGTGTGTGTATGTGTTGTGTGTGTGTGTGTGTGTGTGTGTGTGTGTGTGTGTGTGTGTATGTGTTGTGTGTGTGTACGTGTTGTGTGTGTGTGTGTATGTGTTGTGTGTGTGTGTGTGTGTGAGTGTGTGTATGTGTTGTGTGTGTGTGTGTGTACTCACCTAATTGTGCTCACCTAATTGTGGTTGCAGGGGTCGAGACTCAGCTCCTGGCCCCGCCTCTTCACTGATCGCTACTGGGTCCTCTCTCTCTCTGCTTGTATTCCTTCCGTCATGTCGTTCACAAATACCAGAAACAGCACTGGTCCTAGGACTGACCCCTGTGGGACCCCGTTGGTCACAGGTGCCCACTCTGACACCTCGCCACGTACCATGACTCGCTGCTGTCTTCCTGACAAGTATTCCCTGATCCATTGTAGTGCCTTCCCTGTTATCCCTGCTTGGTCCTCCAGTTTTTGCACTAATCTCTTGTGTGGAACTGTGTCAAACGCTTTCTTGCAGTCCAAGAAAAGTCCAAGAAAATGTGTGTGTGTGTGTGTGTGTGTGTGTGTGTGTGTGTGTGTGTGTGTTTGTGTGTGTGTGTGTGTGTGTGTGGTGTGTGTGTGTGTACATTTTTTCGATTATGTTTAATGAAATCATTGTGTATGTAAACATTGGATATTGTCTAATAAAATGAATGAAGATGAGATTATTATTAATAAACCCGTAAGGGTCGTGGGTTATGTTTAATGTACGGACATAGTCGTGCGTGTTCTGGGATTTCAAGTCAAAAACCAATGGATGATGCCAGTGGCACTAACGCAGATATGGCATTGTTCTCTACTGTGTTGATGGCATGATGCAATAGAGGCTGCTGCTAGCTGGCACTGCTACTTGCTAGCTGGCACTGCTACCCATGCTTGGAGTGGAGGGTGCTGGTGGTGTTAATTGTGCTACTGGAATTAGTCCTGCTATGATGATACTGTCTCTGGTGCTGCTGCTGCTGGTGATATTCCTGCTGTTGGTGGTGCTACTGTTGCTACTGTTGGTGGTACTGCTTTGGCTGCTGTGTGCAGTGCTATTGGTGCTGCTGTTGGTGGTGCTACTGTTGCTACTGTTAGTGGTGCTACTTTGGCTCCTGAGTGTAGTGCTACTGGTACTACTGTTGATGGTACTACTAGTGCTACTATTAGGGCTAGTCCTGCTGTTGGAGGTGTCGACAGTGCTGTTGACACTGCACTTCCTTTCTTAACGCTGAATACAGTGACAGCAGCGCAGCATTGATTGCTGAACCATTGCTTGACTTGACACTGGTAACCCAACTGACCATTAACTCGGACTCTCCTATCTTCTGAGCCTCAGCTATGACCTTTTAAATACTGACATTTAATTATTACCTGCTAACTAATGGCCCTTATCTATGCTCCCTCCCCTCCCCTCGATAACTGATGATTATATATTATATATATATATATATATATATATATATATATATATATATATATATATATATATATATATATATATATATATATATATATATATATAAACGCCTTTGACGCCTTAAAATATGGTATTTTATTACTCTCTTCCCCACCGCCAATAATCCCTACAATAAATCTTCTTGTTGTGCCCTTAGAGGTGAAGTGATTTACTCGGTGTAATGAACGATTGTAAATTTCCGTGAAACTGGGTGGAAATAGATATCTGGCAGATGGGTTGCAAGGCGGACGGGAACGTGCGGGCACGTGAGTGTGCGGACACTTGAATGGGCGGACACATGAGCGGGCGGACACATGAGTAGGTAAAAATGAAGAGCGGGTGGAATGGTAGGTGGGTGGACGGATAGACGGGTGGACAAGCCGTCAGGTGGATGGTCAGATAGGCTGCAGAGTGGGAAGGGAAAGAGTGCAGACAGAGGGATGGGAAAGGGAGGACGGGAGCTGTTTGACGTACGAGCAGGTGGGTGTTCGCGAGGGTGGGAGCGAGGTAGGGTGGGTGAATGGGCGGACAGGAACATGAAAAGAAGATTTAGGAACCTCAAAATTGAAGCAGCAAGGAATATAAAAGAAAAACACTGATGAATGTTGGAGTGGTATTGTTAAGCTATTTTAAATATTTATCGACGCGTTAAGGCCAAGAAATATACGCTGGTAAGATTTCTTCTGAGATATAAATCATAATCTTCAGCTCTACGTGTGGCGAAGAAAAAACACAAGTAGAGAAGGAACTTTTACTGTGACAACGTTTCCCTCTGTGTAGAACTTCATCAAGTCTTTTATCCAATGAAGCTCTACAGGCAGTGAAAGGCCACAATTAAAGATTGCCCTGTGCAGTGTGCCTCTGTATCCAATTGTTCCTGTAATAATTCACAACACATACACTATATACATTATACACTACAACCTAATAGTCAATATAACATTTTATTAGGACATGCATGTAGTGACAAGTCTCACCAGTATACACATAAAAAAAGGACTATAATTATACTCCCCTGCAGTAGATATATGTCTGAGTGTGGCTGCGAAGTTAGAGTGTCTGTCTTTGTGTTAAGAGGGCGGAGGATCGAGCCTCCGTCACTCCTTGCGCTGAAGGATGGACACGGGTTTAATTAAGGTTTAGCGGGGTATGTACACTATGAATAGGTGAACAGCACCTCTGATGGCCCACATGAATCCACACTAATCAGACGCCGGACCACATTAAGGGAACGAAGGATCGAGCCGTCACCACTCCCTTCGTTGGAAAACCAACACTGGTTTAGCGTTTCATGAGCTATGACAACAAAAATTAGACCTAGCAAGCTAGCTCACAACTTACCTTTCCAACAGGTGGTATCATCTATGAAAGTGTAGGGTTTTACCATGTTATCGGCGTTTACTTCTGCAGCGTCTCACTCAGGTTACAGAGGAGGATGCCGCCTGCCTTCGACGCTTCCCGGGATACTCTGGTGAGCTCTTGTCTAAGAAGACTGCGGAGGTGAGGTGTGTTCTGTGTGGCACCGTCAGGAGATGATAATCAGGTTGCTGTACTGTTTTCCTGGCTCTTCGATGCTGGGTGTGGTTGCTAGACTGCCTTACCGAGGTGAAGTCTAGGGGTGTTCAGGGAGGCTTTACAGTTACTGAGGGTTGCGTATCGTCGGGGTTTTGCAGGTGCAGTTGATGGGTCCCTCAGGACTCCTTTAAGCTCTCAGGAAAGGAGGTCATATTGCTGCTGGAGCAAGCGACGGAACTGAATGAGAGACTGAGTGTTGTGCCCACCGTAAGCCCTGACAACAACCCACATGCCGAGAAGACGGAGGTGGTCAGATCATGTGCTGACGAGTATCCTACTCAGTGTTACCTAAAAATTCCTCTTCTGTCTTCAACATCCTCTGCTTTTGTCACTTTCATATATTTTCTGCCACCGCCAATAACCTTTCCATCGCCGCCACCACCTACAATGCTACTACCCCTTCCACTGTCACCACTACTTCCACCACCTACACTACTGTCACCCTTCCAATGCCGCCAGTATCTTCGTCGCCCTCCACCTCCGACGTATGTTTCTGGAAAAATAAAGGAAGACGATGAAAGCTGGTGTGGGGCAAAGACAGTAGTGGAGGCGGAATGGGAACAATGATAGAAGTAGAGGCAGATGAGGAGCACGTGAAGATGTGGAGGCAGGTGTGAAACAGAGGTAGACTAGCAGATGTGGGGCAAAGACTGTGATAAAGGCAAGAGACAAAGACAGTGGTGGATGTAAGAGACAAAAACAGTGATGGATGCAAGAGAGAAGGACAGTGGTGGAGTCAAGTAGACAAGGACATGTTTGGAGGCAAGAGACAAAGACAGTGGTGGAAGCAAGAGACAAAGACAGTGGTGGAGGCAAGAGACAAAGACAGTGGTGGAGGCAAGAGACAAAAATAGTGGTGGACGCAAGAGACAAACAGTGGTGGAGGCAGGTGTGGGACACAGATGAAGCAACACAGAATGTAGAAGTCAGCAGTAACTCGTAAACAAAAAAAGCTGACTAGCTGCAGCGCCTCCATGGCACCAGGGATGTTCTCATCCCTCTCTCCTCCTATCACTTGAATATTAAAGTGGTATAAAATACCGACAAGTTGCTAGGCAAGACACACATGCAGCAGTTAGGTATCTTTATTTCGAAAGGCTTCGCCTACACAGTAGACTTCTTCAGTCGAGTACAGAAAAGTTGGTAGAAGCAGAAGAGTTGTGAAGACGATGTAATCAGTCCATCACCGTTGAAGGCTTAGTTTTGAGGTGGTCAGTCTCTCAGCCTGGAGAAGAGTATTTGTTCCATAGTCTGAAACAATGTGAAGTTGAAGCAACAGCATGGAGCCTTGTATACTGTCAGGAGGTGAGATGTAGGCCACTAGTAGAAGAAAAATGCAATATCGAGAGGTCACGTCCCTCTCAAATCCATCCATTCTCACTTGCAGAAGTTGTCCAAGGTGTTTTTTGTTCCTTACCAAGATACCATTGTGTTGCAGTGTCTGACAGAGTAATTTATTGTCATACAGGATGTGTCACGTGACAAATGTACATTTTTGATAGGTGTCAGTCTGAGTTGGAAGACTTCAGTGAGTGCAGAACACATGGTCAAAGGTCTTCTGTAGGTACAGAGAACATCTGGTCAAGCGTCTTCAGTAGGTACAGAGAACATATGGTTAAGCGTCTTCAGTAGGTACAGAGAACATATGGTCAAGCGTCTTCAGTAGGTACAGAGAACATATGGTCAAGCGTCTTCAGTAGGTACAGAGAACATATAGTCAAGCGTTCCATTTAAAGGCTCTGCAGCTATAGGAGTTTGTAAAGTTCCATTCCAGCAGAATTGGAGTTTCTTCCCCTGTTTGAAGGATGGGGAGAATACTATCCTTTCCCTAGATTTGATGCCTGAAAAGGGGCTATCTTCCCATTCTTGTCAAATCAGTTCTGATTGCCTCCCGTTCTACAGCTATGTGTATATGTCATTCCCGTTTTGCACATGCTTTTTCCTAGCTATGTACATTTATTTATGCCTACTTGTGCTATTCTAGCTACCTTTCTCTGCCTGATTATCTCCGTGCGTATTTCTGTCAGTGATACACTGTAAATATTATATATATATATAATATATATATATATATATTATATAATATATATATTATATATATTATATATATATATATATATATATATATATATATATATATAATATATATATATATATATATAATATACTATATATATATATATATATACAAAAGAATCACAGTAAACAAATGATATCATAATATGCAAAATAGCCACAATGAAAAAAATTGAGAAATTCCAATCACTTTCGTGGTTTCTCACATTATCAAAGAATAGTGAAAATAATAGGAAGATAGAAGATTTATAAGGCTGAGTTATCATCTTATATTTGACTTCATACTTGACCCTACAGGCAGAGCGAGGGAATGTAGTGAATATTTGTTCAGATCACATTTCAAGTAAAACATATGACTGACATGTCAGGCATAGCTTAAATTCCTTGCAAACTCTATTAATTACAAACGAATCTAATTTATACAGCCCTGAACTAATATTCATATTGAAATTAGTACTATTTTTTTACGAAACTTGATTCGATAATATTTTGCTCAACCATTCCCAGCCTTTTGAAAATTAAATGAGTGGTTAAAATCTCTCACATGAATAAACAGAGCATCAGACTCTTGTCCAGTTCTAACGTTATATTTATGTTTTTGTTATTGTAATCTTTGTTCAAGACTTTTTTTCCAGTTTGACCGTAATAAACTTTATTTCATTTTTACATGAAATCTTATAGAGACAGACATCAGCATTTTTGGGGGTTTATTAATTAATGTTTTTTTTTACTCTATCAGGATTTTTAAATGCCTCTTTAATTTTAAAATTCTTAAGTAGAAAAAGTATATCAAGAATATTTTCATGGTAAGGTAGAACCGACTTATTCTTCGTTAAATATATGTCTTTGTTCTTTTTTGAATTGCAAAAGTATTTCTGGCAGTTTTAAATGATTTGTTAATTAAACTGTTTTTGGGTATTTTAGATCATTCGTTATTCCATAAATCTTCAAAATTTCCTCATCTATAAACTCTGGACTAAAAATGGATAAGAATACAGAAAGTTTAACTCTATCATGATGTAAAGAATAACACTGTAAATAACAACAGTTACTTGTTGTTTTTTCTGAATGTTTTAAATTTAAATTATCGGTTTTCTTTAAAAGTTAAAAACATCTGGAATAGATTAACTCCATCCAAAAAGTTTTCCGTTGAGTTTGAACGAAATAATTCATTGCCTTTTTTTTTTAGATGTTTTAATTGTTAAGGGGAATCAAGAAGTTAAATTCAAAATAGAGAGTAAACCAATAAATAACTTATGTGTGCTGTTATTCTCCTAGATATTGTATCTTTTATAAAGTTCTAAAACTTGAGGGGATAACCCGGGTGGGTTTTTTTACACCCCCATTTACTGAAAATTTCGAAGCCTGTCAAGAGACCGTGACAAAGACCCGTGTCAGGAGACCTTGACAAAGACCCTTCGGGAGAACTAACAAAGACCCATGCAAGGCCAAAGTTTTGTTTCCTCGGAATAAGCCCTGTTTCGCATATATCATTTTTGCCTGTTGTGTGTGTTACTCTCCTATTTGTGCTGCCGGGTGTTAATACTTAACTGTCAGATAATTATCCTGGTAACAGTGAGTTAATACGTAGCGCAGTTTTTATTATCCGGTAGCAGTTTATTAATACTTTTGCCTCAATTATCCTGATAAGATGATTTTTAAGCTTAGCTTCGATTAATTGGGAGAGAATAGTCCGGGCCCCCCCCCTCTTCCTGATCGCTACTGGGTCCTCTCTCCCCTGCTCCATGATTTTATCATACCTTGCTTAAACTAATATGGCTCCTGCCCCACTACTCACTTGCCAAACAATTCACTTCCTGACAACTCTATGACTAAAAGATTTTTCCTAATATCCTTCACAACTGAAACTTCAACTTCCAATGTGACACCTGTTTTTTGGGGTCCCACTCGGGGAACATCCTGTTCTGTCCACCTTGTAAAATTCCCCTACAAATTTTGTTTCTTTATCATTCACCCTAACCCTCCTGTCCTCCAGTGCGTAGGCCATTTTCCTTTTTCGTAGGTATGGGGTGTGGGGGTGTGTATTGTGGTGTGTGTGTGTTGTTACCATTTTGTCCTGGGCACATTCGATTAAACACGGGGCCTTTTTCTATATGGGTGTGTGTGTGTGTGGGTGTGTGGTGGTGTGTGTGTGTGTGTGTGTGTGTGTGTGGTGTGGTTTGTGTGTGTGGATGTGTATGTTTTGGTGCGTTGGGGCGTGTTCGTTTGGGTGTTGTGTTTGTGTGTGGTTTTGTTTTGGGGCGAAAGTGTGTGGTGTGTGTGTGGTTGTGTGTTGTGTGTGTGTGTTGTGTGGTGTGTGGTGTGTGTTGTGTGGGGTTGGTGTTGGGGTTTGTGTTTTTTGGGGGTGGTGTGTGTGGTTTTGGTGTGTGTGTGTTGTGTGTGTGTGTGTGTGTGTGTTGTGGTGGGTGGTGTGTGTGTGTGTGGTGTGTGGTTTTACCACTCACCATTTGTACCACCATTTTGGGTTGCAGGGGCGAGTCCTACCCTGGCCCCCCCCTTCACCGGGTTGCTACGGGGCCCTCCCTCTCCCCGCCCATGAGCTTTACAAACCCGTCTTAAAAACTGTGTAGGTTCCTGCCTCCACTACGTCATTTTCTAGGCTATTCCCCGCCCACAACTCTATGACTGAAGAAATACTTCCTACTATCTCTCTGACTCTTTGTGTCTTCAACTTCCAATTGTGGCCTCTGTTTTCGTTCCCCTCCCGGAACTCCGTCTTTGTCCCCCTTTTCATTCCACGCAGTATTTTTTATTCTTTTTCATGTTTTCCCCCACCCTCCTGTCCTCCGGGCGCAGGCCGATTTCCCTTAATTTTCTTTATAGACATTCCCCTTACCTGGAAACCTTTCCCTTTCGCAAACCTTTGTACTTTCTCTATTTCTTGACGTCTTTATCAAGGCGGGGTTCCAAACAGGGGCTGCATACTGTGTGGGGTTGGTTGTGTGTTTGTGTTGTGTTGTTTGGGGTGGTGGTTTTTTGTGTGTGTGTGTGTGTGTGTTGTGTTGTATTTTTGTGGTGTGTATCTGGTGCTGTCTGTGTGGACAAATTCTCCTCACCTTTCCTATATTGCTATGGTTCTTAAACTCATTAGCTTTAAATTGCATTTCGCTGTTTATTTCCTGCCTCTTGGTTATTCACAAGGATTTTTAAAACCTTTTATGAAAAAAGCTTTCTCCTACCGTTCTCACTTCCTAGATCGTTCTCACTACCAAACTCGTTTCCACTTTCTAGCTCGCTCCTA